AAAATTATGTTCATACACAAAAAAACCAAAATTTGGACTCTCCCGGAACTCCGTCGCCTTCATCTGGTATCACTGAGAATTCTCAAGGGTCATCCGACATTGATCTATTTTAATGAAAAATAATTTAATTATGTTGATTATTTTTACTATGTTTAAATTTTGTTAAAAGGTATTAATTCTTTTTTTATTATTTGTTTACTTTTTATTATTTTTAAAGGTATACCTACCGACCAATTTAAGAAAATATTTTTCAGTTAAAAAAGTTTAATATTTTGTTTTGTTTAATTTCAATTAATAAAATTATAATTTTTAAATTTTTGTTTTTATTTGTATGAATAATAATGTAAATAGCCTTACCTCAATGTAACGATAAGTTTTTCATGTGGTGAAATACAATATCTTACAGCGTGTTCATTTGCTTCCAGGTCATTTTTAACTGTATCCAATAGGTCATCAAATGATTTGATGGACATACGGAAATAGTTAAAAAAATTTTCCTCGTGATCCCTAAGCTTCGGATATAAGCTAATATAATGGCTTGAAGAAAGTCTAGTTTTTAAAATGGGATGAACCCAATACTTTCTTTTTTCTTTTTGTCTTCGTCTTCTCATTCTTCGATATGTGACCCACAAACACACAGCATCTGACACGTCCATTCTCGTTGAATGTATAATACAGACCATGTTATATTTTAGATGTTATATGGCTGAAATTAAAATGTTCCGCACTTGACGCGCGTCCATGTGAATGATCATTAAAAGTTAAACGCGCGTTGAGCGATTCACTGCCGCGCGTGTACGCGCGTCCATGTGAACCTAGCCTTATTCATCCATTAACTAAAATATCGAATACACCTCGTACGTTATCGAACAAAAATAACGACATCGAATCAAATCTTAATGAAAACTATCAACAAGAATTTGAAAACTGGTTTAATTCTGTAGATTTAGATAAAACCTATGGTTCAAAAAAAAAATTCAGATGGAGAAATTATCTTAGGTGAAAAGAAAGTGAAATTTATTGAAAACTCTATTCTTATTGATGGTACTACTTATCCATCAACCTCGGGTCTCATACAGTTATTATTTTTAAAAAATCCTCTTATTTATTCCGATAACGATCTAGAAGTATATAAAGCTATATTAATTCAGACATAAGCACACTTGACTTTGGACAGAAAAAAAATTAAAAAAAGTGGTTTTAAATATAGGGATATAATACGTAAATTATTTCCCTCTGGTGGTCGACTATTTATGAAATTACAGAAAAATAACTTAGTGTATTGGGATAATCCGAATGAGTTAGTCGTTCGATTATGATTACTTTTGGCTTCGAAAGCTGCTGGTAATACAGGCGTCTCCAATGAAATTATATCGATTTTCGAAGAATTACTTGAAGCTGGACTAATAAAACGAATACCAAATGTCTAAACGTGAAATCGCTATTGAACTACATAAACTGTCAAGGAAATATTTCGTTAGGCGCAGAGTCGAAGTATATGGAAAAAATGATTTATGGCAGGCCGACTTGGTGGAAATGATACCATATTCAAAGAAAAATAAAGGTTACAAATATATTTTATGCGTGATAGACTGCTTTACTAAATTTGCGTGGGCTGTTGCATTAAAATCGAAAACTGCGAAAGAAGTCACAAACGCAATGTCTAAAATATTACTAGATCGCTCACCAAAACTTTTACAACTCGATAACGGAAAAGAATTTTACAACACCACTTTCGACGCACTTATGACCAAGTATAATATACACAAATATTCGACGTTTAGCATCCTGAAAGCGTGCATTATCGAACGATTTAATCGCACATTAAAAGTATAAATGTTTAGAGAGTTTATGGCAAGTGGCTCATACAAATGGATTTCAATTTTACCGATGCTGCTTAACGAATATAACAATTCGAACATAGAACAATAGGAATGACTTCGGTGCAAGCAGATTTAAATCCTTCGTCGCTTACAATAAAACAACGTAAGATTAATAATGAAAAAATTAAATTCAAAGTTGGCGATAACGTTCGTATCAGTACACAGAAAGGTGTGTTTACAAAAGGTTATTTACCTAATTGGTCTACGGAAATATTCGAATTTATCAAAATAAATCGAACATTACCAGTAACTTATCACTTATCAGTTACAAGATTATACAGGTAAACCAATTGCCGGCTGTTTTTACTCTGCGGAAATACACAAAACAGAACATCCAAACGAATATCTGATCGAGAAAATTCAACGAAAAAAACAAAATAAAATGTTTGTCAAGTGACTCGGTTTTGATAATACACATAATAGTTGGATAAATACGCGTGATGTTAAAATATAGTATCAGTCGTATCATAGCTATGAACGTGTTTGGAGGTTCGCAAGCTGGCGATACTAAAAGAATTATTTCAGATATTCAGTCTAGTAACAAAACAATACTAAATGATGTAAACCTTCAACAAAAAGAAATTGATATTATAAAAAGTAATATTACTAATCTATTTGAAAGAATATCATTGATGGAAATAAATATACAGACGAGTAATAAGTCTATATCTAATTATGAAAATCGAGTGTCAGATTTGATTAATGAACACGAAGAAACTAACACAAAAATTGGGGTTATCGGAGAAAACATTCATCGTTTAAGCGTTGAAATAGATCCTATAACCGGATCAAAACAATAAAATTATTAAGAAAAATTGATTTTTACAAAATATATTTATTAAATGTATATGATATTAGATTATAATTTTAGTCGAGCTGAATATACCGTCGCGTTCGGTTGTCCGTAGACCTCGTATATAAACTCTTAAGATATACTTACAATGACATCCTCGGCGATCTTAGACATTCAATGCATTCTTGGAGTAAAACATAAATATTTTATTAAAGAAATGTCTATTGTAGACACAGAGACATGGACAACTCAGCACTGGATTTTTAAAAATTCAAAATTATTACAAGACAACAAGATTCGAAAAACTAACAAGTGGTTAGAACAAAATTATCATCAGATATCTACAGATTATGGTGATGTCGAATATGAAGAACTAAGTAGAATATTGAATTCATTAAAGTTTGATTGTATTTACATCAAAGGCGAACAGAAATGCAGCTACTTATGGAGTATATACCACACCTCGCAGTCAACATTGAAGACTTGGGCTGTCCTCGGTTGGATCAAATATGTGATGAAGAAACTTTACCTTGCTGTATTTTTCATAAGGATTTAAATCCTAAACATTGTACATTCTATAAAGTATTTGCAATAAGAAAATGGCTTAAAAATAATTCTTAAAAATTGTATACATTTTATATTAACATTTACAAGATTTTTAATTAAATATATTAGTCTCCATCTATCTGAAAAGAATGATTGTAACATACATAATATTACAAGTTAAAAAGTGTTTACATAGTTTGTATAAATTCAAATGATATTTACAAGTTATTCATAAAAAAAAAAAAATAAATAAAATTGATACAATTATATAATTGCACGTCGTAACTTTCTCATAAAATCTTTTTCAAAATCTGACCATTCACTTCATCTTTAAGCTCTAACCATTCGTCATCTTCTCTATAAATTTATAAGTAAAATCAGTAAAATAATTTTTAAAATGTTTAATTGTAATAACTTACTCTATTGTGTAATGTCCATGAGCTAATGTATTTATTTTATGGTCTAGCATCACTCTTTTGTCGTCATAGTTGTTGTATGTTAATTTTTTTGTTTTAATGGTCATTAACTGATGTTTGAATGACCTAATAGACACATTATCCTTGTATACTTCCACACCAACTTCATCAAACAAACACTTTCTATGGTCTTCAAGGGTCATATGGTTTTTAACCACATGAGATCGGATACCCTTTGCTTTAATTTTCTCTTCTCCCTCTATGTTGAACGCATAAGATTTGGCTCTCAGCGCACAAAACTCTGTAATCGTATTACCATCCACTTCATCAGAAAAATATCCCGGAGTCTTCTTCCTATCTGCTATATAACATGAATGCTCACGAGGTAGGTTGGCGGTATCCATCCGATCCAACAAGCTACGATTAGCCGCCAAGTCCATATAAAAATCTTCAGTATCAATATGATACACTAATGAATTTAGAAAAACAATGTTAAATTAAAATATTTATGAATATATAGGAGAATAGTTTAAAATATTTACCTGTGTCAGTATACATAAGTCTGATTCTATCCCCATAATGTATCTTCATAACATTGTAATGATAATCATATATTTAAGTTTTTGATATATCTAGCACCGCGAATCCTAAACAAAATATAATAAATGTGTTAATATTATATAAAATATAAAATATAAAGTATATTTACCAATATAGATTGGTTAATCAAATTTGATTTCTTTGTTTTCTAAAGAAACAGCATTAAGGTTTTCATTGTACCTAGTACAATGTTTAAATGTACTCTTGTTTATCAGTTTTTGTAGTCTTCTCTCACATGATACTAATTCCACTTTCATTTCTTTCCGTTTAGATTGCATAGTCTTTCCTAGAAAAAAAACATTTTTTGGAAAAAAAGAATAAAAATTTTAAAAGTAGCTACCAAAAACAGCATTATTCATTAACTTGAAAAAATCTTTCTCAAATTCGTTCCTCGCCTTTTTTCTCATCTCAGTGTTCAGATTAATATAATCAGCTAACCACGCAGACTGGTTGAACTGAATAACCCTGTGTACCTATAAAAAATAAAATAATATTAAAAATCTATTTAAAATCTTGTAAAATATAAATATTTACTTTTTCAACTATAAGACCGTTTTTAATGGCCTGCTGTAGATTCCTATAGTGTATAACATAATTTTCCTTCTTTTCAAATGTCGCCATTAATTTTCGAACTTTAGATCCTCGTGGTATACTATTTTGTGGAAGGAAAGGGAGGTCGTTATGTTGCTCATGCAAACTATGAGGGTACGACACATCTACTTCATATACCCGTCCTATGGGGGAAGTTTCATTCAAATCATTCAATCCAATCAAACCAGGTTCAACCCACTTGAACCCACTGTACGGCATGTACTTAGACATTGCCCAACCGTACAAGTTATTACCTATAAAATTTAAAAAAAATTAAGTTTGAAAATTTTTTTTTTTTGTAAAATTATTCTTACAGTCCTGATATATAATCCATGATTTCTCTTTAGTCTCGTCATAGTTCGGAGTCTTTACTTATTCGCCTTCGCATACCTCTTATTCGCTTGCACCAACCCACCACGAATACCTAATTAAAAATAATAAGATTATTAGACATATATTTAAAAAATAATAATAAAATTGATATACTAACCATTTTTAAACATCAGCAACATGTCGTAATCACTCAAAAGTTCTAATTTCTGTCCTGTAAACTTCAACATCGCGTCAAAGCTATGTCCTGGTGCGGTGAAGTAATGAGCGGCGTCCAAGTTATACGCTCTCATGCATACGTTGCGGAAATTCTCAAATACATCCGCCAGCAGTAATACATCGATTTTGAGATACAAATCACTGTACTCAACCAACGTCTTGCAGTCAAAGTGGTCCCAGACCTCCTTCGCGTGTTTATAATCTTCCTCCTCAATCCCAGACTCGGTCAATGTACTATAAAAACTTCTCTTGCTCGGTAATCTTGTCTCTTCCAGCCGACTCCAATTATCAGTGTTCTCGTACGGGTAAACACCTTTCCGAGTCACAAGTGGCATATCCTCTGCGGCAAATACTTTAGCAGTTTCATGAAAATTCTCGAGATCCGGTGATATCAAATTTTTGGCAAATGTTGACAATCCCGATGCCATGAATCGAAAAGTATCTATGAAACGGATTTTAAAAGTATTTGATACATATTTCGTAAACGAAATAAATTTTTCCTCACTATTCGGTATCACGTTAATCTCACGTGTGTCGTGACCAAGTTCCGTCACTATCAGATGCGCATCATAATTTGACAAATTGTGAAAGTAACACGGAATAAAAACAGGTGTTTGTAATTTTTGATTGCATGCATTACACAGAGCTTGTCGATATTTTCCCGAAAGGTGACAATGGTCAGCTGTCTTACGATGTAGTATTTCTAATGATGGGCTTAAGTCTATTTTACAAAGATTACACTGCGTTACTGCTTCATGCATTTCTACGTCTTCTGCTGTCATGTTTATCGATATACCTGTCTTTAATAATTTCTCAATTTTTAACGCTATCTCCGTGACAGTTTCAACAAAATGTCTCGCCACATCCTGTCGACTCTCGCTCCCTCGGTATATCACAGGTTCTAACGGTATATCATGTTCCTCTAGTAACTCTACCGGTACGTCTTCGCTCGCCTTCATAATAAACCCATAGCTCATTTGCTTCATGCTTGTGTATTATCCTACTGTTTTACCTTTTCCTCGTCCGCCTTCATCAACAACGTTTCGAAATCCGCATAAATAACAATAGGATGCCTCTCTGTGTTTCCCACGCCTTAAATTCCGTACACTTCCCTTCCTTCGGCATCACTGGTAATATCGGTTTGTGAACTCCGCATATTAGCTTGTGTTGTTCAACGCCGCTTGCCCTCTCAATTTAAATTTATGACGTCTATCGTCAAAACTGGTAAAACATCTCTTACAGAATATGACTCTCTGTGTGTGTTGTTTTTCGACGTCTTATAAGTCTTGAAAATTTGTTATATATGTGTAGTGACTGTTGTCACCATCCATCATCAGAATAGATCGAAATGGTTGGGTTCTCTTCATCAACGACGCAACGGATACACTTCGTATGTTGGGTACTTGCGGGACGGTTGAAATTTTTCAAGTCCGTAAACATTTACGGACACGTTTTTTATTTTTCAAATTTTGCTATATCCGACAGAGGTGTTGGGAACGATATACCTTCAAAATTATATTTTCCTCGTGTTGTACATAATTTTCGTGAACATGATGTAACCTCGCCCCGTCACATGTTTTGCTAATATAACCCACTTGAAACACTGTCGTCATTGTTTGAGTTATTATCGGTTCATTGTTTTGAGGATTTATTGTAGCTCGTTTCCTATCTATAAACGCGGGTAACTTAATATATGACGATCCACTCATAGGTGTGTATTTATACACCGTTAACAATAACCCATCTATACTATCTAATGTAAATCCGCTTCCACGCGAATTATATTCCTCTTGTTCTGCTATTAACTTTACGTACGCTCTCTCTATAATCTCAGATATATCAGACTCACTAAAAATTTCTATCGCTACCGTTTTAAACGCTCTGTCTTCCCTGGAGTTTGCCATGTTTGGACGACTGTATGTTGCCTCGAGTTTCAAATTAAATTTTATCAGATGATCCTGTACACGTGTTTTCAATAGTTGGAATAATTCAGACTTAAGCGATCGGAGAAACACATGATAAACTTGAATATTGTTCAAATTTTTAGCATAGTACCATACGATTTTCCTATTTGATGACGACGATATTTCAATAAAACCGGGAGAGTGTACGATATTTATACGAGCCTTTTTCGCTCTAGCGGCCGATGTGGTGTTGGCGGAGGAAACACGTTTACCGTTTACACTAGTAGTGTAATAATCTTTAAAAATAAATTAAAATAAAAAAAAAACCTAATTAATATCTAATGAAATAAATCTATAACTATTATACTATTGATCGCGTTACAGACTATTTGTTAAATTTAAAAATTTAATTCAGGCTTAATAAATAAAACTAACCTGTATTAGCGTCTTGTACTTTTTCATCTCGTTCGAATGCTTCCATGGCTGCTATACACATTTCGTCCTCGGATAACACGTGTGATCCACAGGCCAGCATATCTGGAACAAATATTTGAGGTGCAATCTGAATATGATGGGCTGGGGGCGCAAACTTTATAACACTCTCTCGTGCTGGTTGAGCGAGTTGAGCCAGCTGACAATGCGCGGACACGTTAATGATACCTCGAGAAAAAAAAATGTAAATGAATATTGAATGACAAAAAATATATAATATTATATAAATACGTACCATGAACATGTTTATAATGTCTATTAAGATTCGTCTTGTAGTTGAACTTCATCGGACAAATAGTATACAAAAAACGTAAATCGACATGAGTTTTTTTATGGATGAATAAATTATCCTTACGTGTGAACGTCGATGAGCATTGATCGCATTTAAACATGATGAAAATGTATAAAAAATTAAACACTTGGAAAAATATAAATAATACTGAGCAAATAAATGTGATGAGACTTGAAAACACTGAGAGAACGAAGGAATAGCGAGCGTAAAGGTACGGACGTCTAGAATACACTGATTGTATAACGGCAGACAACGGAGTCGGTGTCCAGAAATCGTAGCATTTACAATGATTAAACCAGGGTTAGGTAAAATATTAATTGGATACTTACCGTGATAATTGTATACATTACTATAGATTAACGACTAGTTTAGGGTACAATACTGTATTGAACAGAGTTTGATAGCAATTCTAGAAACTGACATATCGTGTTGAGTATAATAGATTTTATGATTAGTTTCTTCGTCATCCGTATCATATGCGAGAATATTACCATGTATTTTATACGGTTCTCAATCAGAACTACCGCTGTCTTCAAAATCACTACTAACTAACTTTTCTTCAAGATACTCATTAAAATTTTTAGATGCCATATTCGAGTAAAAAAATAACTTTAAAATATTTTAATTAAATTACAAATCACTAAAAAAAATAAGAACTAATGGCGGTAACTACGGCTATTAGGTAGAAACAACGACTACACATATACACACGATTGAAACTAACTATTTATATTGTCGTTATAATATTATTACAGATTATAACGCATGACAAAAATTTAATCAGTAGATATTGGAGAAGTGAATAATCAAAGTAAAACCTAATTAACAGGCCACGGGGCACAAAATGTTCTTACCTAATATAGATAACATTCAATACTAATGATGCACAGTTAAGATAATATTATGTAATTTCTAATCTAAAATAAAAATAGCCGCTATCTTATGGTTGATATTGGAGTTATGCCAGTTTTTACGAAAAATTTTATTTTGGTTTAATATATTCTATAGGGACACAAGTCATCAAAACACATAGATAAATCCTGTTTAGAGTTGTGTCGTTTTAACAGTTTATAAAACGAAAAAAAATAATTTGTATGATGTTATTATCTCAAAAAGCCAAATTTTTGACTTGTGTCATTATAGTCGCCAGGGTGCAATATATTATTTAATCATTTTTTTGATAACAGAAATTACAATTAATTAACACAAAATTTAAAAATTAAAAAAAAAAAAAATGCAAAAAATCCGAATACTTGGTCAGTTATCGTACAGCTCGGATTTCGCTGGAACGTGTTTCGAACCTGCCTACCTAACGTCGGAGAACCTTGTCCCGTAGCTAGTTACGAAAACGGCAATTAAGTGTCTACCTATCAGTCATTACCCGGTGTTTGTCGTTACTCAACTGGGCAATCCGCGTAGCTCGCCCTGTGCTTTTGTGCATGGAAAATAAATAAATACATTCCGAAAATGTAATTAAGTTAATTAAGTGTCTAGTTATCAGTCATCGTCCAGTGAATATCGATTCCTGACAGGGCAATAATAGAGATGTTAAACGTATTATGGAAAATGCATGTCAAACGTTAACGAGTTGAAGATCAAAAAACTATACATAATTAATATTTTTTTTTTGATATTTTATAGATGGTTAGATATCGAAAAGAAATATTATGCACATTCTGTGATGACAAAAGATTTAAAAATCAAAAAAAAAAAAAAAAAAAAATGTGCTACTGTTTTTCCCCTTTATCTTTCAAATGTAAACAACTGAAAGGCTAAACATATAAAATAGTGAATTCACGGTCAAAACTGAGTGAAACAACTGTATTGTCATCAATAGAATGTTCTCAGGCTATAATATAAATTGCATATCACATATTATGTACATTTTAATTGTGCAGACTGTTAGTAATAACTATAATTGGTTTCTATTTTTAATTAAGTATATATAATATAATAAGTTATAATGTGTAACATATATAAATATAAATGTATATATTTATTGAATATAATAATATAATATATTATGTCATCATCAATCAAGCAATATAAAATTAAATGTGTGAGATCAAAAATCATTTTTAAAATTTGAAAAATATTTTACGAGTAGTAGTGTAAGACTGGATATCAAAACGAAAAGAGCAACTAATAATGATCGAATTAAATGAGAAAAAAAATGCAAAAAATCCGATATGTGCAGATTCTTATGGAGCCGCCCGAATTTCGCCGGAACGGGATTCGAACCTGCCTACCTAACGACGGGGGACCTATCCTAAGGCTGCGGTCACAGTGGCACCGATGTCGGCCAGCCGATTCTTTTCTTCCGACGTCGGCCGATCTTATCGGCCGATAGGATGGTCATAGTGCATCAGACGTCGGCCGATAGAATTGACCGACAGTCGTTCATTTCAATGCAATGAGTGCAGGTTATAATTTATAAAATGGATGTCCCCTCATTTTTGTGTTTGGAAACAAGTCCTGCTATTAAATATTTTTTGTTAAAAAAGCGAAAGTATCACACGAATGACATTTTTAAGGATAGGGAAAAATATGTAGAATTCCATACATTGTTTCACCAACTATTGGAACAGGAGGAAGATTTTTTCAGTTATATGAGAATGACTAAATCAACTTTTTACTATATATTGGAAAATATAAGAGAAAAAATCCAAAAGCAGTCAAACTTCCGAAGATGTATATCACCTGAAGAGAGCCTAATGGTAACTTTGAGGTATGTTATTTATTTATATATATTGATTTTACAATGATGTGTTTTTTTTTAATTTTTAATGTTTTGTGTCTGTCTTCACGATAAATAGTCGAAATAATGCTTTAATTTTGAACTTTAAGGGTGGTTTCTGATAGGAAATTTAATCTAGTTGGTACTTTTGAAAGGTAATTTTTTGCGCTGAAAAAAACAAACAAAAAATTAAGGAAAAATGGGAATTTTTACCCAAAATAAATTTAGTTTTTTGATGTATCTAAAATCTAATAACTGTAGATACGTGAAATTTTCAAAATATTTTGATTTTTTGAGCCATTTATAAGTATATGAAAATGTCTATCATTGAATTCAAATTTAATATAATATATTCCATAACACTGATCTACTTATAACGTATTGTATAGCAGAGCGGTACCAACTTGTTGCCCTTTTTTATTATTATTATACTACATAAAATATCTGTGAGACGAATTTGATACTATTATTGACTGGGCAACAACACATTTCGTATTAACATAACACTGGAATGATGAGAGAAAAATCTTTATTACAACATAATTTATTTATTCGTTAAAGGTAGGTTATAGGTTTTTTTAGGATGTGATCACAAGTAGTAGTGTGAGTAATAGTTTAACATATTATAAATATCATACAATTACTTTATAAATATATTGTATACAATTTAGAAATATACGTCAAAAAATGTTCATGCGTTTTTGAAATGCAAAAAGTTAGTAAGAAGTTCTTGATCTGAGTTTACTGTTTGTTGGACTGGTTCATCTTCACTAGGCGAGTAGCTACGGGTATTCCAGTTACTCTGTTGTGAACTAGTTGAAACTGAACTGCTCCAGTTAGAGTAGTCTGCCGGACTAGCTACAGGTATACTAGTATCATATGATGTACTATTTTGATTTATAGATTGACATTCAAGCAATACCTGTTGCAATTTTATGCGCATTTGTAATTTTTGAGACAGCGGTATTGCACGCAGATGTGGAAGTAGGCTCATAACAAAAAAGTAATCCTCATCTTTTTTTTCCTCATCTTCTTTTTTATTCTTCAGTTCCTGCAAGTGGGCGACCTTTACTTTTTCTAGTTGTACTAAATCATTAAGAACATCTTTTTTCTGTCGAAATTTGTTCTTGGGTGATTTGAAAATTTTTTTTGGTACTTGGCTCACACCCGGAGTTATAGAAGAACAGCTTGATTTACCAGTTTGTTGTTCTTCCAACTGTAGCTCGTCCGGTTCTTGTTCATCTGATTGTGAGTTCATCAATTCATGGTCAATATGTGACATGCTCTGGTTGGGTGAACCTCCACTCACCGAAGCATTATCACCGTCACATTGTTGAGGATTTGGCACATTTCCAACCACAACTCTTGATGCATATATGTCGTTCAAAAAACTCATCAGCTGAAAATACTTCCATTTCGAATCACAACCAGATGCGGATCCCGTTGGTTGATTGGTCTTTGCAAGCTCTCGACGATAGGTGTCTCTCAAATACTGCCATTTAGTTTTTACTCCAGAACCTGCAATAAAAAATGATGAAGCCATACTTTAAACATAGTACTTATTTGTTGATAATGTGAAAATCAAATAATAAATATAAATATAAAAAAATCGGGCACTCGCTCTGCTGTTGTAGGTGTCGAGTGAAGCTCGATCATAAGGTAGGCCTCTATAATGGGTGTGTTAAATTCAATGATAAGGATCATTGAATACGAAAAACGATTCTGAACGGAGATATGTCAGCCTAGGATAATTTATATTGATATTATTACATTTATATATTGATAGTAATAAATAATTTTGTAATTATTAATATAATTATATTTGGATAAATTGTCTTTCCTGTTAGGTTTTTATCGACTGGACTGGCCTTCAGGTCTTTGGCATTCTCCTTTAGAATCTCTCATAATGCTATCGCCAGGATCGTGTATGACACAAGTGAAGCTATTTGGACGACATTAAATGTAGAACACATGCCACTTCCAACTATTGAGAGATTTAAACAAATCGCGAGTGATTATGAACGTATGTGGGATTTCCCAAATTGTATTGGGAGTATCGACGGAAAGCATGTTCGCATAAAATGTCCCGCTCATTCAGGATCCATGTTTTTCAATTATAAAAAATTTTTCTCCGTACATCTACAAGGTATTACTGATGCCAGGTATAAATTTATTACGATTGATGTAGGAGATTATGGGAGACGAAGTGATAGTGGTGTGTTTATGGAAACTGGAGTCTACCACCATTTGGAAAACAATTCATTTAATGTGCCACCTCCTAAACCATTACCAGGGACAAATGAACATGTTCCCCACGTTTTTCTAGGTGATCAAGGTTATCCATTAAAAGAATACTTAATGAGGCCGTATCCTACTATGAATAATATTGATCCAGAAAAAGAAAACTTCAATTATCGCCTCAGTAGAGCTAGACGTTCGGTGGAATGTGCCTTTGGTATTCTAGTGAGTAAGTGGAGATGTCTAAAGACTGAACTGCAAGTGGAACCATGTCATGTAGACACTATTGTTAAAACTGTTTGCTTATTGCATAATATTGTGATAGAGAAGGATGGTATAAAGGAGTCCGTATTATTTAACATCCAGAGCCAGACAGCTGAACACAGTTTTGAAACAGAACACAATATTACGAATTTGAGACGTTTTAATCGATCATCACGAAGAGCGTATGAAATACGCGATATTTTCAAACAGTACTTCAAAGACAACACTATTAATAAACTCAATAACAGAGTAAATTTGTAATGTATGTATTTTAATTTTATGTTGTTAAAAATTAATAACAGTGAAATGTGGAAAAATACATGTTGTATACTATAGCATGATTATTTACATTTCGTGTAATTGTGTTATTTTTATATTGAACCATGCCATTATATTCTACTACATAATATTATTGCTATAATAGTTTTGAATCACTTTATTGAAATCCATTTATAATTCTAAACAAGAAACCAACTATTTTTATTACTAACTACTATTTTATTTTCATCTTCACGATATAATGAAGAATGAATGATTTAATAAAATATAGTTACATTATAGTTTAATAAAATTATATTATAATATAGTTAAAAATTTGAATAGTACTTACTTGTATTTTTTAATAATACAGCGATTTCATCCCAGAGACGTCTTGCGACGTCTCTGTTATGATGCGATTTATTGCTAGGGTCCCATAAACTCCTTCTTTCATGGACCAAACTTATTAATTTTTCGCAGTCCATGATGAAAATATAATATTTTTAAATAATATTTGTGTTTCAACTGATTACGTCGACTGAATCGGCCGATATAAACAAACGAAATTGAATTTCGTCCGATGGATAACCGACGTCGGCGTAATCGGCCGATGCGGTCGGAGGCACTGAGACCACTTGTATTATATTTACTTTGCATAAAATAATCGGGCGAGTTTCACCGACGTCGGTCGTCGGTGCCACTGTGACCGCAGCCTAAGAGCCGGCACACACGACCGATATTTCATCGTACGATTTATTTATCGTATTAAAATATTATCGTACGATATTATAACATGGTTATACACGATTACGATAAATTGTCGTACGATAAGATAATCGTACGACGCCTTGAAAACTGTCGGTCACGTTTTGAACTTCTGTCCGATAAAAATATCGTACGACCAAAATATTTCAATCAAAATGTACATAAATTAACTGATTAGAACACACGAACGATAATATTTATCGGATCAAAACATAGAAAGTGTTTAGTATCCATCATGTCTTCTGAGGACGAATGTGATTTTTCTAATGGAGTCAACTCTCCAAAATCAATTGAATTTGTGGAAGACGATTTAAATATTGATATCGAGATTCTTATCAGCGAAGTCCAAGCAAGGTCTTTACTTTGGGACAAAAGTTTAAATAATTATTCTGATAGGTATTTAAAAAGAGCTGCTTGGAAAGAAATTTTTATTTTGTTATACCCAGATTACAAAGAAGTATCAAGTCAACATCAAAAATTAATAGGCAAGTACTAATCAAACATTATAATACAAATAATATAATAATGTATGATATAAAATGATATATTTTAAAATATAATTAATGTATTTATGTAGGTAAGTAATAGGTAGGTACCTAAGTAGGTACATATTATAATAATGACGAAAATATTAAATAGTATAATTACATTAATAATAATTATTTTATATAACATGTAACCTACATAATATTATTATTATATATTATAATAATGATAAAATAACTAATAAAACTGTTTTAGTTTGTATTTTAATTAAATAATATACTATTTATTTATCATTTTGCCATGCCACAGCTCCTACAGTATAGAAGTAATCGGCAAAAGTATTTCTTATATAATTTGCCATCCTTCCTCCACGATTGATGTTATTAGTTGTGACTAGAGGTTCATCAAATCCTTCAATGGTTAACGTGTCTTGTAATTTGTACCCATTTTTTTCTCGAACGTAATTATGTAATACACAACAAGCTTTTGTTATGTCTACAGCTAAATCCGTAGTGACATTCAATGGCCTATGAAAAATTCTCCATTTATTTGATAGAATCCTGAATGCACATTCAACATATCTCCGTGCACGTGATAAACGGTAGTTGAATATTCTTTTTTTTTGTGATAAGTTTCGTCCTCTATAGGGCCGTAGTACATTTGTAGATAAACTGAAGGCTTCATCACCCACAAACAAATATGGAACATTTGCATCTGTGTTAGGCAATACCGAAGGTTCAGGAATACTTAATGAATTATTAGCCAACAGAGTCCAAAGTGTGAAATTTTTAAAAATGGTAGAGTCGGAATCCTTTTCATCGACATATATAAATTTATAATCTGAGTCTACTACTGCTAATAATACGATAGAAAAAAAAATTTTATAATTATAATGTTGACTACCCGTTCCAGTTGGTTTAATAATACGTATATGTTTTCCGTCTACCGCTCCAATGTAGTGAGGAAAATTTGCTTGTTTCTCAAAACCAGTTGAAATATCTTTCCAGTATTGTTCAGTAAAAGTGGGCATATAAACTCCAACAAGTTCATTCCATATAACTGAACAAACTTCTCGAACTATCATAGCTATTGATGAGACGCCTAATTTGTACGAATAGTGTAAATCCTTAAATGTACATCCAGAACCAAGATATCTAAAACCAATAAATAATAAATTACAGTTATTTTTAGTTGTGATATAATTCATGAGTACTTATAATCTATAATTTTACAATATTAAAATAATATATCATTGAATACGAAATACGATTCTGAGCGGAGACGGTTTGTCGGCGTAGAGTATTGAAACTACTAAATAATTTGTGCATTTTCGAGATATTGATACCTAAGTGATAACTGACAAATTTGGCAAAATTTTAACTTACAATGCTTATAAAAAATAAAAAATAAATAAAAAACACACATCATTGTAAAACCAATACATTCATCGCTTCGCTCAGAATCTAAAAAAAAATCCAATATTTCAAAAGCCTATATTTACGTATAACATTTGTAGGAAATAATATAGAGAAGAAATGGAGAAATGTTCGAGATGCATTTATTAGAAGTTTAAATGAAGATAAGCCAAAATCAGGCGATGGCGCCAGGAAAAAATCCAAAAAAACATACTTATATTATGATGAATTAAGATTCCTCATTAAAACAATAACCCCACGAAAGACTTCAAGCTCTATTAATTTAAATAATACTGCATATGACAATATTGAGAATGATACTATAAATGACAATGATATTGCGAATAATACTATAAATGCTTATATTTAACATAACTTAAAAACATCCGAAATAGTGACAGAACAATGTTCAACTTTAAACAACTCTGGACCAAACAAAAAGAATCAATTGTCGAAAAGAAGTTTTTAGAATATTTAGAAGTACAAACACAGAAAGGGATTAATGATGAAAAACAAGATCAGCATCAAGAATTTTTTAACTCCTTGTTACCGATAGTTAGAAAATTTAACGACGACCAGACACTACTTTTCAGATCAGAGGTGATCAAAATTGCACAAACTATTAAGAGAGGCCAATCTTCTAGTTTACCGGAGACAATAAAACCAAATGTATCATCCACATCTTTTCAGCATCAGCCATACTTCCATTAACTTCCATATAGTCCGTATATAATGTACAACCCGAACAATCAGAAATATATACATCCACAACAATCAACATCACAGTATGCAAATACTCAATACGACATATTACCTGCAAGGAATACCAGTCTTTATGTCCAATCTCAAAATTTTCATAGTCTACAACCCCCAGTTCAAACTTATGCTTCGTCTCAACATATTAATGTCGTTTCCCCAGAATCTCCACACCAATCAAATGCTAGTTCTCCTTCTCCATATTCAACATCAACACTTTCACATCACTCGGATATTGTGCCAGGGAGAGATGTGATATATTCTGATTCTGATATAATGGATGAGTTTTTAATAACAAAATAAATTATTACTAATTAAACAAAGAAATTAGTTACTAGTATCTGGTAAATGTTTTTTTTTAATTAAAACGTTAGTTATTATTTTTATTTTTAGTAATGAATTTCTAATGTAAATTGTTAAATAAACTGACTTATTAAGTATATTCACGAAGTGTATCCACTTCGTCGTCATTCGCGACTTAATGCTTGGAAAGAAACAAATGCTGCTGAAATTAAACAATTTTTAGGTATTATAATGTGAATGGGACTAGAACACCTCCCAACAATTCAGAACTATTGGGCTAAAAAAGGGATTTACTCCTCAAAAATTTCAAAGTATATGAAAGTTAAGAGATTTGAATTATTACTCCGAACATTTCATGTCAGTAACAAGTTCGAGGATCGGTTGATCTTTTAGTTTCCAAATATAAACGTGCATATATACCTGAAGAATCGCTATGCATTGACCAATCTGTTATACCATTTATTGGATGCCTTATTTTTCGACAATATTTAAAAAATAAACGTCATAGGTATGGTGTTAAAATATTCAAATTATGTGTACATGATGGGTTTACTGTTGACTTTCGAATATATGCAGGTAAAGAAGCTGTCCAAGGGTTGGAAGTTTCTACAAAAATAGTTATGGAGTTGACACATGAATATTTAAATTTTGGTAGGACAATTTATACGGACAACTGGTATACGAGCGTTAATTTGGCACATAAACTCTTGGAACAAAATACTCATTTAGTTGGGACACTAAGGGCCAATAGAAAACAAAACCTAAAGGATGTAGTACAAAAGAAACTGAAAAAAAGGACAAGTTATAGCGCAACAGAGTGACCGAGGTATAGTTGTTCTAAAGTGGAAAGACAAAAGAGATGTCCTTATGCTCTCCACTAAACATTCAGACACTATGATTGAAACAATAAATAAACGTGGTCAAACTACAAAAAAACCAGAAATTGTTATTGACTATAACAAAGGAAAAGCTTTGGTTGACATATGTGATCAGAGGTTCTCATACTACAGTCCACTAAGAAAATTCATGAAATGGTATAGGAAAGTTGCAATTGAAATAATACTGAGCACTTCAGTTCTAAATGCCATATGTTTATACAATAAAGTAAATAAAACGAAAATTGGAATTACTGAATTTAAAGAAATGTTGGTAAAAGATATGTGTGGTGTTTATGAAGAAACTAATAAAGAAGAAGTTGAACACAAACTATCTAAATCTGGAAAAAGAACTCGATGTGTGAAATGTTACGATGAAATGGTAAAACAAGGAGGAAGAAATCATGCTCAGCGAATAACGAAACAATCAAATTATTGGTGTGCAGCTTGCCAGAAAGTGTACTGCATCGAATGTTTTTTTGATGACCACAGAGTCCGGGCAAAATAAACATAACCAATGTTATTTGTAAATAGTATTGATTGAAAAGGATACAAAATGATGTTTTTAATTTGTTTTATCTATAATTTGCTGTAATTATATTTTATAAGTTTATTAGTTTTTCAATATAATAATGATATGATATAATAATATGATCAATTTACAAAAAATTTTTCTATTACAAAAAAAATGTTCATTCATATTACTTGTAATCCTTTAATATGTAATACCTATGTACTACTAGTATTAATTATACCTTAGAGTGATTGCCAATTTTTCAACTGGAGTAATGGCTTTTCACATATTTGTATCCATTTTTATCAGTTTGTGACCAACAAATGTTGTAAGTAACTCATCAAAAGCAGATACTGACATACGAAAATAATTAAAAAATTTTACTGGATCTTTTCTAAGACCTTCAAAATTAATTGAAAACGCACCTTCGGATAAACGAGTGGATAATAATGGATGGACCCACATTTTTCGATTTTTTTCTTTAGTAATATTTTATAACCCATATATAAAATTATAATATCATTCATTGTTTTTTTTTTTTATAATAAACTAGGAATTAATTGTTAAAATGCACTTAAAGTGAGAACTGTAAAATACACAACACTCAAATAACACTGCACAGTTCATACTGAATACGTAATTTTGATGATATATTATAATTTATAATATATGATATAGATCGTACGATGAAATATCGGTCGTGTGTACCGGCTCTAACACCTATCGACTACAGTTTGAGTTGTAATCAACGACCAAATCTCGAGTACTTAAACCGTTTTAGAGATGCGATGAATACTACCATTGATTTTATAATAGACAGATGAGCAACGCTGTAGAAAAAACCGGTCGCCAATTCCTGACTGTCAGCCGTTATAGAGCGCTGTAGTCGACGACTGTCAGCGGTGCGGTGTACACCTCTCCTTACTATGGCAGGGTGTTATATTTTCATGTATCCCACTAGTCTCTAAACTATAAATAACTTATCAATAAGCAATTTTAATAATATCGTTGATTTTGTAGATTGTTATATAAATACTACATAATATCTATTATAAAACCAATGATATTAATGGTATTATTATTATTGATATAATATGAATTGTAAAACAGGACTGTGGTTAACTTTGATAACCGACTACACTTATCGTCTATCGATTGTCATTCGAAACGGCAACACTTATGTTCTTAATGTTATATTAAACGTTTTCGTGTTACAAATAACAATATTGATCATGCCTGGAAATAAGTGTCAATATTTTAATTGCTTTAAAACAACAGTACAGTTTCCCAACCTAAGTATGTTTCGATTTCCCAAAGATGAAGTTAGAAGTGAAGTATGGGTACTGAACTGTGGTATATATTATTTAATGAATTAAAATTATTTTTCATTCAATTTTTTTTATTTTAAATTAAATATTATCTTCTTAATATAGGAAATATTAATCTACTGTCGCTTTCGAAAGAAAAATTGCATAATAAATATCTTTGCCAGGAACATTTTAGTCTCGATGATTTTATGAATCAAAATAAAATAAATTAAAGCCAACAGCTATTCCTTACGAATATCATTCGGAAAAACAACCATCTACATCAACAGGTAAAAAATAATGATGAGTACTTTATTTAATTATCAGTGCCGCAATAACCGGGTGTGTTGGGTGTGTTAAACACATGAGCCCAGGGCCCCAACCTATAATGGGGGGGGGGGGCGCAATGATAAAAATCGATTTTTTATATTGTTGTAACTCAAAAACGAATCATTTTAAACGCTTGAAATTGTCACTAACTGTTTATATTAGCGTTATCTATATACGGTTAAATTTTCAAAACATTATGGCCTTTTTTTAGTTATTGTAGACAACTGGAATTTTCGATTTTTTAAGGAATTTTTTTTTTGAAACGTCTATAAAATAATTTTAGATGTCCAAAAAAACTTAAAAATTTAATACAAGATTTCTTATAGGTCGTTCTTATTGTAGGTAAAAAAAAAAAATCAAAAATCGTTAGTCACATTTATTTTTTTTATAAATTTTAAAGTTCAAATTTTTACGAAATATGTCAAAATCCCAAAAATTTTCAAGTAATTTTGTAATTAAAAATTCATAAAATTTGTT